CAGCCATTTAAAAGTGAGCCGTGCAAATATTTAGGCCCTTAAATCAGTGGTTCATCTGTGAGGTGGGCTCCACTCGTGGGACATACACTACCAGGGGAAAAGTGTCTAACCTCATATCCGACCTTTCAGCAGCCGCAGACCCCCAGCGAGTCCGGCAACCTGAGCCGAGGCCTGACGCACCTCACCTACAGCCGCACTCTGGACGCCAACGGCAGCACGCCAGGTCAGAGCAACCGTGGAAACCACATGGTTTACATTTACAGTCCTCTACTCTCATCACAGCTGTGTGATACAAATTTAATTTAGAAACATTAATAATTTATTTTAATTCACTGCATAATAATGTGGCACATTAACAAATAATAAAGGATTGTAAAAACACAACGATTATTTTGTAATTTTACTAATTTCTGCTATTTGTAGCCAGGGAGGATGATGTAATGAGCTGCCGGCTCAGGGGTCCCAGCGGGGGTATTTAACATTTCTTGTTGGAAAGCCGATCAAAGGCCTCCAAAGGCAGAACAAAAGCGCGAGAGTTTACAATGAAAAGTCTCTACAAAGTGAGAAAGTTATCAAAGTAAGATAAACAAAACACAATGGCTTATCCTGCTGTGGGACCCGTTGGCGTGTCTGCGTGGAGGGTCCCATTGTCTCGCTCTCTGAACTTATTTATAGCTCATGTAAAAGAACACATCACATCAGAGTTGAACCTAAGAACTTTGCTTTTCTCTGACAGCTGTTAAAAATAAAACACAAATGAACAGATTCATCTTCTTCTCTCTATAATCCAGGCCTGGCACAAACCCCGCCCTCTTATGCCACTCAGCCAATGACAAATGGACTCACGGGCCCACCCACCCCCACGTCTTCTGATACCCCACTGGGTCCACCACACCCAGCGGAGAGGACGCTTACCAATCACAGTGACTCTGATGGCGGCCTATCCAATGCAGGAACTCGAAGGTGAGTGAGGGCATCAGCAGTACCTCACACATCGTGGTGCTTCCCTGATTCTTTTGGTGAAAACGAACCTCAAAGGTTCTTCTGTCCTTTGGGAAAAATCCTGCGCAGCTTTAGCAGTGATCTCAGAAGTAATGGTGCTCAGCCTGTTCCACTCTGCTCTTCCTCACAGGTCTTCTCTGATTCGCTACAACAGCAACACTCTCCCCGCCCTCTCTTCCACTTCCCTTCTCCAACATCAGAGCTCCAAGTCCTCAGAGAGTGACCTGTCCACGTCCACGCTCCCCATATCCTCCTCCACGCTCCCCATCACTTCTTCATCCTCACACACTCTTACGAAACTTGCACTCTCTCAGCCCGAGACGGGTCTCCTCCAAAACTCCACCAGCTCCAGCAGCACAAACAACACCCCCTCTTCTTCTACACCTCCTGGTCCGCCTGTGCATCGCCCACTGATGCCTCAGACCTCCCTCGCTCTGACCCCACCCAGAGACATCCCACCCTGTGGCTTTAACGGGTGCCCGGCCAATCACCAAGCACCCTCCACAGCATCCAGAGGAAACCCCGGATTGGTGCTCCCCCTTGGAGCCGGGTCCCCGGGGACAGCCCACGGCGGGGAGCTCGTGCCGGTGGCTCTGAGCCGCAGTGAGAGCGGGGGACTGGGGTTCAGTGTGACAGCAGGGGGAAATGGGGGTCAACAGGCAGTAGTCAGGCGGGTTTGGGATCGGAGGCAGTGCCTGTCGCTGCAGTCAGGAGACATTATAGTGAAGATCAATGGAGCAGACGTCCAAAGCTTCAGCTTCTCCCAGGTAAAAGATTTTTATGGCTTTATCACCTCGCTCGACCTTGATATTCCGACTGACGTTAGCTCAGCAGTGAACAGTTGGTCTTTGGGAAGAGGGAAGCTCTCATGGGTGCTCATGGGAGTTTTGTGGATATTTCTCCGTATATCCTAGAGGTGTTTTATTTCTGTGTGTCAAGGAAAGAGAGATGGTCCTGTTTAACCTAAAAAAGAAATCCTCATCACAGTAGTTTACCTGCCTAAGCCCTCCTTGTTACTACTGACAGACATAGCCATTGGTTAATGAAAACTAACCGATGTCTAATGTGACGTGATGAGTGAGGAACAGATCTGACACTAAAGAAGTTCCATCAGAAGTAATAAACACGAGTGTGTTTCCTTCCTCAGGTGCAGAGAGTGCTGCAGGAACACACCAAGCAGGGAGAGGTTGTACTTCTGGTCTACAGAGGAGGTAGATACGCCCGTTACCCCAACCCTGATTCACTGATGACTGTGACTGATAATAACACCAATGCAAATCTAAGTATGTCGGGCTCAGGCTGCAGGATGTCTTCGTCTCATCAGCCAATGATTGTGTCATAAATGTTTATGCATTTTGACACTGGTTATATTTGGTGCAAACTAATCAATGTTATTGAACAGCATAGGTTATCCAGCAATTCCTAGAATGTAAATAAGCATGCAGAAATGGCCAATAATG